TTTAATAAAGACAGGGTTTCACTATGTTGGTCAGTCTGGTCTTGAACTCCCAACCTCAGGTGATCCGCCTGCCTTGGCCTTCAAAGTGCTTGGATTATAGGCGTGAGCCACCACGCCCGGCCTGTTTTCCAGTTTTCTACAAGTGAATATGTAACAACTCGGAAATAACGAATACACTTTTTTGCAATGGGAAATTACTCTCGTTGACGTAGTAGTTTTACACTTGAAGAGACATTCATGGGTTCAGCAGGTGTCTGTGGACTAGGTGCCTTTGGTTGAGGGTGACAAGTGTCAACAATTAGCCTGTGGTCAGGTGGAAGATGAGCCGCCCAGAGCTTCAGCTGCTGGCTCTTGGTCCTTTCCCACAAGTAGGGCGGCCTGTTGGCCTGGGTAACTAGCAAGGCTGACACTTCTAGGCCAGTAAGAGGAGGGGGTTAGACAAGAATCAAGAGAAATGGAAACAAACTCTTTCAGCAAGGGGGTCTCAGAGGCTCTAGGTGGGCATCAGAAAGCTCCAAGCCAAGACCCCCTTCTCAGGAGAACTACTTATTACGGACTAGACCAAACCTCATGCTCTTCACTAATTTCTTCATCATTCTTTTTAATCTATTTGCCAAAACAGTACTTTTTTTTTTTTTGAAAAGTTGCAAACAGGGAAAACACAAAGAAAGAAAACCACACGTACTTCTATGACCTGCATATAATCAATGTTGCTACCGGAGTATACATTCCCAGCCTTCTCTCTCTTTTACTTAGGATCAGGATTATACCATAAAATGTTATAACCTCTCTCCATCTTTTTATTTAGAAAAATTTCAAACTTATAGAAAAGTTGCAAGTAATACAATGAAACTTTACCTAGATTCGCCTGTTGTGAACGTTTTTATCTCCCTCTCTTTCTCTATCAATATTTTTCTGGACCACTTGAAAGTAAGTTGTAGGAACGTTATGTCATGTCTCTGTAAATTCTTCAGCTGCATCTCTCTTTTTTAAAAAATTTTTAATTAAAAAAATTAACAAAACATAGAGATGGGGGTCTTGTATGTTGCCCAGGCTGGGCTTGAACCCTCAGACTCAAGCAGTCTTCCCACCTCTGCCTCCCAAAGTGCTGGGATTACAGGTGTGAGCCATCACCACCAGCACAGCTGCATCTCTTAAGAGCAGGTCATCAGGAGTTAGAATAGGAACCCTCCCCAGTGAAGAGCAGCTAAACCTTCTTGGTAAACCTTTAGTGGGGGCCAGTGTCAACCATCCCCTTCTTCATTGTCTCCCTCCCCCAAGATTCACGATGACATTCCTCTCCTGAGGAATAGGGACATTTCCCTCCAGGGCGCGCTGACAGCCTCCCAGCCACCCCTGCCGCACAGGAACGACTTGATGAACAGGAAGGCGGAGAGGCGCTATGGTGTCACCTAGTGGTGATGTTGAGTTCTCCCAGGCATGAACTTGGATTAGTAGGGAACCATCATCATGGTCATACCCGCCATTTACTGAGCAACCACCCCGTGCCTGGTACTTTCCACGTGTCATCCCACTTAATACTCAAGCCCTAAAACTCAGGCATCATTAAAATGGCCAGAACACAGCCTGGCACATCACAGATGCACAATATGTGTTTTATAACTGAATGAAAAAACTGAACCTCTGAGAGGCAAAGTAACTCGCCCAAGGTCTCATTGTAAGTGGTTGTGTTTGGCTTCAGACCTGCATATCTTAACCATTCTACTTCAGACCTCCCTGAGGAAAGAGTCTAAATAGAGAAAGGGGGAAACAGTCGTGAAGGGACATTATGGTGATTGGAAAGATCACAGATCTCAGAGGTCACGTTACATACATAGGGACATCAGGGCCCTGGGAGGAAAGGGGTCTGCCAGCACCACCTATTTCTATAGTGGCAGGCCCGGGACGAGGACCCAGGGCTCCACTGATGACCTCAATCTATCCAAAATGTGTGGTCAGATCACAACAGGAATCATCAGCAAGGATTTGCAAATCACCAGAAATGTGTTGTGAGATGGATTAGAAGAGACACCTATTTCTCCAGAATGGCGTCAATACCGTTCCTTATGCTTTGATAGCAGAAAGGAGGGCAAGCGAACGGTGCCTGCAGGATTAGGGAGAGCGTGAAGGGGAAGAGGAGAAGCGCACCATAACCGTTTATCTGAATGACGGTAAAAGATGGGGTGTTAGATCACGGGTTGGCAAACATTTTCTGTGAAGGCCCAGAATGGAAATAATTTAGACCTTATATGTCATGCTGTCTCCTTCACAGCCTTCTATACTTCTGTGGCACACAGCAGCCACAGATAATACATATAGAAATGGGCACGGCTGTGTTCAAATAAAACTTTATTTATAAAACCAGACAGTAGGCTGGATGTGGCCTACAGGTCATAGTTTGCCAATCCCATCTTAGTGATTGTGTCTAATAACCCAAACATACTTTCTTTTTTTTTTCGAGGCAGGGTCTGGCTCTATCACCCAGGCTGGAGTACAATGGCACAGTCTTGGCTCACTGCAATTGCAACCTTTGCCTCCCAGGTTCAAGTGATTCTCCCAGCTCAGCCTCCAGATTAGGTAGGACCAAAGCCATGTGCTACCATGCCCAGCTAATTTTGTGTATTTTTTGTAGAGATGGGGTTTCACCATGTTGGCCAGGCTGGTCTTGAACTCCAGAGCTCAAGCAGTCTGCCCGCCTCAGCCTCACAGATTGCTGGGCTTACAGCATGAGCCACCGTGCCTGGCCTAAACATACTTTTAAGAGGGAATTGACAAAGTTAAAATGATGATCTTGACAACAAGAAAACACCAACTGGAAGCCCTTCTTTTCTACCAGCTTGAATTAATTACCCCTTTTCTACCAATCTACATGTGAGGTGGAGTGCAGCTCATGGGCTAGCATACGGTAGAACCCTTCACTTAGGGGAAATTTCAAGGCTGAAAGGATTTACCATAAAACAAACCCCACTATCCCTCAATCTAGAGAAAACCCCAGATGCGGGAGGGGGTGCAGACACAGAGCCCTTTACCTGTTCTGGAGGAAACGCTCACATCTTTTCTCCAACGGCAGTGCCTGGGGGAAGGCCATGTCATCCAAGTCCCTTTGAGGAATGGTGCAATTTTTTGAGATATTTTCCAGGAATGGGCAGGCCTCAAAATTAAAATAGAAAACAGAATACTGGATCTCAGCATCGTCGGTGGACTCAGTGTCTTGTGAATAGTCTCCTGTGATGAAACAAGAACACGTGCTCTGTGTGAGAGCCGCTCTCTCTGTGGGCTCTGCAGTCTGTGTGAGTATGTGGGCTGCTCTCTGCTCATAAAGCTGGGTCATGTTAGTTGAGTGGTGACTTCAGAGAGAAGACCCTGCTGGCATTTCATCGACGTGCCCTGTGAGGACTGAGCTTGGTACCCTCTTTGGCCTATGGTGGAGGGGGACACAGAGCAAGGAGGAGATCGGAGGGGCTACCCTCTGTTTGTGAAGAACTAAGGAAGTCGGGGAAGTGGTCAGTAGGCATCAGCCCTTGTTTCTTTCTGTACCTCGGAGCAGGAAACATGGATGGTGTCGAGACACGACGAACACTGGCTCCCAGGGGGCCTCCGGAGGAAAGCCTCCTGGGGGGGCAAAGGCACAGATGGTTTCAGGCTTAGCTACATCCATAAGGCACACGGAGCCATTCTTGGAAAAGATGAGCACCTGGGAAGCAAAGAGATGGTGAACAGGGGCTTCTACTGGACTCTGACCCTCTCAGGAAGGTCGAGTGTAGTGGTCACCCCAGTGAGGCATGAGAGAAGCAGCTGGACATAAAACATCTTGGGTCAGGCTGGGCGTGGTGGCTCACGCCTGTATTCCAAGCACTTTGGAGGCCAAGGCGGGCGGATCACCTGAGGTCGGGAGTTCAAGGCCAACCTGACCAACGTGGTGAAACCCTGTCTATAAAAATAAAGAAATAAAAATTAAAAAAAACAAAAACATCTTGGGTCCCTGCCTCCAGATCCATCCAGGGCTGCTGGGGACTGCACACACATGTGCTGACTCCTCGGGGTCCCCCTCAGCCAGCAGGCCCTCCTCCACATGTCATCTGCTCCAGGGTTACCCATCCCTCCCCCTTTCCCTAGTGTCTCTTCCAAGTTCTTTTCATCTCTGCTGAAGAGCTCACCCTTTATTTGGCCAAGATTCCGTTTCTCACCTGTGCTCCCGCCTTTCCCTCCCACTGCCTCGTGACCCTGCTCCTCTAACAGCCTCTCCTGGCCTGGGATCCGAGCTGGGGACTCCCTCCTGCCTGGGCTCTTTCCTCTCTGTAATGAACATACTAAACTCACCCCATCCTTAGAAAGGACTCACCCCCTTTGACCTGACATCCTCATCCAGGGGCCGCGCCACTTCCCCTTTCCACACCCTGTCCACTCCCCCACCTCCCACCCTCTGTCTCCCTCCCCCTGTCTCCAATGTGTTCTTGGTTTTTCTGCAGCACAGGACACCACTCTCACTTCCTTCAAACTCTCCTCTCTGGGCTTGCAGGACTGTCCCCATGCGGTTTTCCCTGGTGGGGCCCCTCTCAGTCACTTTGGGAACTGCTTTTCCAGGTCCTGTAAGTGATGGTAGTGCCCATGGCAACGTCCTCCCTATTCCCTATTCACTGCATCTCTTTAACAAGAGAAACCTGCTGTCCCCGCCCCCCGCCCCCACCGCACTTCAGCCACCACTCACTCCACCTTGCTGGTGAGCATGAAATCTACATTTTCAGCCTTGGGCTCTCTTGGAGCCTCCCCTGGGGGTCCTGTAGGCCCCTCGCCCTCTGCAGGGCCACACCAGGAATCACAGACTTTCTCTCCAGGCCTGCATTTCCCTCAGTGGGCCCTGTAAGGACCAAGGACCGGGGAATCTGCTCTGCAGGTAAGGATCAACCTCGGGAAATCAGCTCTGCAGGTGGGGATCAACCGCGCATGCGCCCTCTCCTTGGTCAGCAGCCTCAGGTGGCCCAGCATGTGGAGTTCATCTGCGAACTCTCCATCCCGTCTCTAAACATGCTGCTCCCCTCCTCCAACCTCTCTGTTTTGAGCCCCACCCCACACAGGGACACATCTGTACCCTTCTGCCCAGGGTACAGGACCTTCCACGGTCTGGCCCAGGTGTCGTCTTACCTGCATCCCTCAGCAATCTCCTGTTGCCGCACCAGAACTTCCATGGTGCTGCCTCCTCAATGCCTCTGGCTCAGCTCAGCTGTCACCTCCTCCAGAAAACACACTGTCCTCCCCTGCCACCAACCTCTGTGGGCTGAGTTAGGTGACCCCTCTCTCTGTTCCGTGCATCCATTAAAAAGTTCCTATCACAGCCTTTTTCATGTTCTAGGGCAGCTGCCTGGCGGCTTGTCTGTCTTCCCAAATGAGCTGTGTGCTCCGTGAAGGCAGGGACTTTTTATTTGTAAACCCGATAGGGAGTCCAGTGCCTAGCACATAACAGGCCTTCAGTAAGCATTTTCTAAACGATAGATGAACACATTCACCGAAGAGAAATGAGAGGCATGGGGAACCTACCATGCCAGGTAAGGCTGGGACTGGGGCCACTGCACAGATGGTTTTTTCCAGGTGCTTCACAGGCCTACAGGACAGAAAACACACAGTCTCAAGAATTTAAAAATGTTGATATCCTCTTCTAGGCATGTACCCTGGGGAAATTCAGAGAAACCAAGACATATGTGAGGAGGCTGTTCACAGCAGCAACAAATTAGGAATCATCCAAATATCTGTTAGTAGGAGGATACTTACATCAAGTGGTATATTATACAATGAAATATAATACAGTAATGAAAACAAAAGAACTGGAGCTACATGCATCAACATGTATGGCTCTTGTGAACAATGGTGCAAATCATGATACAGAAGAAACATCACTGAAAAACAAGTTGGAGGCTGGGTGCAGTGGCTCACACCTGCAGTCCCAGCACTTTGGGGGTCAAGGCAGGAGGATTGCTTGAGCCCAGGAGTTCAAGACCAGCCTGGGCCACAGAGTGAGACCCTGTCTCAAAAACAAAACAAAACAAGAAAGAAAAGAAAAGGAAAGGAAGGAAGAAAGGAAGAAAGAGAAAAGAAAGTGAAAGAAGAAAGTTGGAGAATAGATAATGGTTTCCTTTATAAGTTTCCTAAATATGCAAAGCTAAATAATATACTGTTTAGAGATACAGTCATACAAATGTAGTTAATTCTTTTATTTTTTTAATACATTCTTTTTTTCTTTTCACAGAGAAGGGGTCTCACCATGTTACCCAGGCTGGTCTTGAACTCCTGAGCTCAAGTGATCCACCCGCCTTGGCCTCCCAAAGTGCAGGGATTACAGGTATGAGCCACCATGCCTGGCCTAAATGTGGTGAATTCTTAAAGCAAAGGAATGATGAATTTAGAAAAATGGTGTGGTAGATTGAAAAGCAATTAGCTGTTTTTGGTAGTGATTCCCATCGAAAGATGGAGTCTGATTTTCTACCTCTTGAATGTGGGCAGGGCTTCGGGATGTGCTTTGCCCAATGGGACATTAGCAAATGTAACATGAACAGAAGCTTGAAAAGCATTTGTGTACGAGGGCTGCCGTCTCCTGCTGCCGGGCGCCCTTAGACTATGATGTGAGGAAGCCTGTGCTGGCCTGCAGGAGAGACCATGGGGAAACTGGGGTGCCCTGGCCAATAACGTGCTAACTGCCAGGTGTGTGAGCCAAGCCATCTTAGAGCCCCACTCCCTCAAGAGCCGTACGCTGCAAGCTGCCTGAAGGCACAATTGAGAGCGCAGGTGAGACCAGTAGAATGGACTGAGTTCAGCCCAAATTGCTGACCTGCAGACTCAAGGACCAAACAATGACTATTTCCTTAAGCCATTAAGTTTTGGGTTAGTTTGTTATTTAGCATTAGGTAATTAATAAGGTGTTTGGGGTGGAGCAAGAATGACTGATGAGGGAGAGGCATACAGGGATCCCAAATGGAAATGGAGATTATCTTTTTCCAACAGGTCCGTGGGAGTTGATCTCATTATTCTTTATTACACTTACACACACACACACACACACACACACGCACAATACAGGTTCATTTGCCTGCATTAAGTATTTTTAAATGTTTATTTATTATTTATTTATTTTTTTGAGATGGAGTTTTGCTCTTCTTGCCCAGGCTGGAGTGCAATGGTGTGATCTTGGCTCACTGCAACCTCTGCTTCCCGGGTTCCAGAGATTCTCCTGTGTCAGCCTCCCAAGTAGCTGAGATTACAGGCATGTGCCACCACGCCTGGCTAATTTTGTATTTTTAGTAGAGACGGAGTTTCTCCATGTTGGTTAAGCTGCTCTCAAACCAGCCTGATCCGCCCGCCTCAGCCTCCCAGAGTGCTGGGATTACGGGTGTTTGCCACCGTGTCCAGCCAGTATTTTTCATTGTTTAAAAGAGAGAGAGAGATCCCTGGGGAAACTGATGGAAGGTTACTGTGGGAGAAATGAGCCTCTTCTTGGCCATATGGGATAGGAAAGACATTATCTTAGTCAATTTTCTATTGCTTATAACCGAATACCTGAAACTGGGTAATGTATAAAGAAAAGGAATTTATTTCGTATAGTTCTGGAGCTGAGAAGTCCAAGGTCAACAGTCTGCAGCTGGTGAGGGCCTTCTTGCTGGTGGGACTGTCTAGAGGGCTGAGACTTCACAGGGTGTGGCATGGTGAGGGACTGGGTGTGCTCATGTTCTAGCTCAGGCACCTCTTCCTTTTCTTATAAAGCCGCCGTTTCCACCCCCATGATGCCCATTAATCCATTCCCCTATTAATCTGTTCATGCATGAGTGGGCTTATCCATTCCTGATCCAACCATGTCCTAAAGGCCCTGCCTCACAGTACTGCCATCATGGGGATCCAGTTTCAACATGAGTTTTCGAGGGGACGGTCAAACCATAGCAGCTGTCGTCTGTGCTCTCATACGGTTTTGTTAGAAAAAATTGTAGGTGAGCCGAGACTGTGCCATTGCACTCCAGCCTGGGTAACAAGAGCGAAACTCCATCTCAAAAAAAAAGGAAAGAAAAGAAAAAATTGTAACATTTGGTCGGGAGTGGTGCTCATGCCTGTAATCCCAGCACTTTGAGAGGCTGAGGCGGGTGGATCACCTGAGGTCCAGAGGTCAAGATCAGCCTGGCCAAGACGGTGAAACCCCTTCTCTACTAAAAATACAAAAATTAGCTAGGCGTGGTAGCAGGCACCTGTAGTCCTAACTACTCGGGAGGCAGGAGAATCGTTTGAACCTGGGAGGCGGAGGTTGTACTCCAGCCTGGGTGATAGAGCAAGACTTCATCTCAAAAAAAAAAAAAAAACAATTGTAACGTATATATGACATTGGTGATCTTCAGAAGCTCACCAGGACAGTGATGACTATACAAAAGGTAGACTCTCATCAGACAGGCTGTCAGATTTTACTATCAAATAGCAATGAAAATCATCTGTCTGGCAGATGATTTACCCTCATCCCGCCCTCAGGCTACTGACCTCTCAACAAGCACACTGACGGTGGGTCCTTGGGTCCTGCTGGCCTCCACCAGATGGAGGGAGGCGTCTGTGCACAGCACCACACATTTCATTTGGGATTTCACTGGATCTTCAGGGTACATATTCTGTCCTTTGTGGACTAAGAAATACCTTAGGAAGTGAATGCTTTGACAGAAACATCCCTGAGGAAGAGCAGCGACCCCAAGAGGGAATCCTGGAGAAAGTAATCACATGAGCCGGTCATGAAAAGGGGGTAGGCGAGGGCGCCGTGGGCACAGGGGCTGGGACCAGCAAGTGTGTGAGGGACTTGTAGGATGTGAAGGCAAAATCAAGCAGTGAGAACCCCCTGAGAGCAAACCAGGAAGGCCAGTGCCCAATGCCAGAGGAAAGGCCCCTGCAGGGGAATGCTGCTGTGTCTGGAGAGGAGCCGGGGAGGGGAGGACCAAGAGCACTGAGGAGGGCAGAGTCAGAGCTGGAGCCAAGGGGAGCTACCACCCAGCCACCCAGGGACCTTTCCTTCCCCTGCCCGTACAGCTTACCATGGATGCAAAGTTGTATGAGCAGGGGAAGGAAAAGTCGCGCACCCGTGCACGTGCGTGTGTGTGCGTGTGTGTGTGTGTGTGTGTGTGTATAGCCAAACAGCAAGAACTTCTCAATATCCAGAAAAAAGTGAAAACAAGGTATTTTGGTCAAGGGCTTGTGAAATCATGATCATTCTTCTTTTCTTGAACTATCCTTTGCTTCTATGATAATGATGTTGGATCGATAAGTAAGACAGAGGAGGGTCTTTAGTGGTGTTTATCTTAGCAGTGTGTGGGGAAAATATCCTCCGAAGTTGAAATAACCACTGCATTCTTCAGAAAGTGATAGCCAAGTGAGGAAGCACTTCGCTGGCTTGACAGACACCTGCCTCCCTGAGAACAGTCAACTCCCCAGTCTGATAACAAGCTACCCAACAACCAGGGTGCTATCTCGGATGCTCTGCAGCTGCCAGGAGGGCTGCCCAGTGAAGGTGGCCCATTTCCACTCCCTAGGAAAATACACCTCCATCTGCAAAATGGCAAACCACTGAGTCATTAATGGCCTTTTACACAGTCTTGTTAGAGGGAGGTACTTCCCTAGAGGCTGACCAATTTAGGAAGCAGTATCATTGATTTCTGTATCTGCAAAGCTGGACCCAGGATCCTAGAGCCCCACCACAGTGCCACCCACCCAGAATAGCTGCTGGTCTTGCTTTGACTGCTTTATAGGTCTCTTAACTAACTCCAACACAGTAGCGTTCCTGCTGACTGGGGCGGAGGTGGAATAGCAGGGATGACGTGCTTATTTAGAGAGCTTGGGGGCTGGGAGGAGGAGGGGTGAGGCCACCATGATCCCCCGTGCGGTGCCAGAGATGTTTCTTCATTGGAGTGCAATAATGAAGGCAATGGTCATACTTCTAGAGCCTGGTACAGGGCCAGGCTCACAGAAGTCACTCAATAAACACATGGGCAGTGGGAAGCATTGGCACATATTATGTCCAATAAATGTTGAATAAATGAATGAGAGGAGAGCAGGACCAGTGCCCCACGGCAACGTGAAGAACACAGAGGTAACAGAAGGCTCAGAGCCTTCGGGAATTCCGGAGTTCCCAGCCTCATTGCCCAGAGTCCCACCCAGGTACTAGGTAGACAGGCAGGGAGGGCTCACCCTTGGCCAGGTCCCACAGCGTGAGCACGCCATCCTCGCAGGCCAGCACCAGGTAGGAGGAAGAGCAGCTGAGCTGAGAGGCTACAATGGGTGCAGCACAGGGCCACACGCCCTCGGGGTCTAGGGGTAAGGACAACACTCACCAGCCTCCCCCAGACCCTGCACCTACCCATTCCTTCTACCTGCACAACCTGTGACTCAGACTGGCCTGCCTGTTCAGGGAATGGGAACCAGGAACACCTGTCTGGACTCACCATGTTCCTCCTCTCTGTGAAATGTTATTCGCCTTGCCTAGGATGATAAGATAATGTCACACTATTAACACTCTACAGCTAATATTTAATGAGCATGCCCTAGGTACTAGATACTGTGTTAGGCACTTCAGGAGTGTCATTTCATTGCATTCTCACAAGGTTCTATGAATAGGTCCTATTAGTATCCCCATTTTATAGATGAGGAGACTGAGGCAAAGAAGTGACTTGCTCAAGGCCATACAGTCAGCTTAGAAGGAGATGAGAAGCCAGGTTGCCTGGGAAAGGGATGGAAGAAAAGAAATTCCTCCTTTGTGAATTTTTAAATGTTACTTTTGAAGTATAATATAAAGTATAAGAAGTGTACAGTTCAAGGAATTATCACAGAGCAAACTTGCTCATGTAACTACTTCCATTAATTCTTCTTTTTTTTTTTTTTTTTGAGATAGGGTTTCACTCTGTCACCCAGGCTGGAGTGCAGTGGTGCCATCTTGGCTCAATGCAGCCTCATCCTCCTGGGCTCAAGCGATTCTCCTGCCCCAGCCTCCTGAGTAGTTGGGACTGCAGGCGCATGCCACGATGCTCAGCTAATTTTTTTTTATTTTTGTAGAAACAGGGTCTCACTATGTTGCCCAGACTGGTTTCAAACTCCTGGGCTCAAGAGATCCGCCTGCCTCTGCCTCCCAAAGTGCTGGGATTACAGGCATGAGCCACCATGCCTGGCAACCTCCATCAATTTGTAAAACAACAACCTGTATTTCCTTAGTGCCTTTCAATTTCAAAGAGCTTTCACATACAGAAACTCTCTGGGTTTTGCTATTTTCAACAAATGCATGCACTAGACAGCGATGCTATAATTAATGAGCTCTATGTTTTACATGAAAAACGAGTTGGGGTGTGAAGTGACTGGCCTGAGACTACATGGTTTGCAGACAGCTAGGGTGGCATTAGCACTGACCTTCTGATCCAAGCCTTTTTTCTTAGCTGCTTAAGGAGCCCTGCGGACCTGACTGTGGACTTTGTCCCTATTGACCTGACAGATTCTTGGGGTCACGCTATACCCACCAAGCCCCCTATTGCCTGCCCAGCTCTGGTCCCTAAAGTGATGCTTGAGGTATGCCAGTTACATGCTCTCAGCTAAGCTGGGGAAGGACATGTCTGCGAGCCCTGAGCTTAGGCAACTTCCATCTCAGCAGTGGAGTACCAGCTTTATCCTTTAGAGTTCGGTTTAGTGAATACAGGAAGAAATTGTGACTTCTGCTCCAGTGTACACCAAGGACACAGGCCATTCCTGGGGAGCAAAGAGAGAAAATGGGTGTTACATAAGAAGTCTGGGTGGCCTTGGGTTTGCACAGGTGTTTGCCCAAGAGGAAGCTGCTTTGAAGGCTGAAGTGGAAAGGAACTGGGCAGCCCCATAAGGGCTGTTCTTGGCACCCACCTGCCTTCCTGGTAGGGAGGACAGTCATAACTGCCCCTTGGCTGCTTCCACATATAGAAAATTCGCATCCTCAGTGTTTTATGTAATGTCTTCTACAAGGCAAATTGATCTCCAGAAGCAGCCAGGTGGGTGTGGGCTCGTGCCCTCCACAGTGCCAGCCACTGTGATCAGGGAACCTGTGCTCCAGGGCCAGAGGTGCAAAGAGAAGCTGATGGGCGATGGCTGACAACCTAACTCCGCTCTTCATTCCCTCCCCCCTCGCCAGGTTTGCTGGGGAACGTCTCTAGGACTGCTCGCTGAGGGCTTTCCCCAAGGTGATCCCTCGCTAGGACAACCACACACTTCATGTTCATTTACCTGAGGGGCCCTTGACTTCCGTGGGCATTGCAAACAGGCAGCTAGGAAGAAGGAAATAGAAGGTGGCCGTACTGGGAAAGAAAGAGACACGAGTCAGAGCCATGCAGACTCCCTGGCAAGGAGAGATGCTGGCAGAGTTGTGGTCCTAAAGCCATAATAGATAGAATGGACCTTCCCAGGGGTGGAGGGCCGTGAAGCAAATAACATTCTAGGTGCTGGTCCTATGCGCTGACCTTGGATGCTGGTGAGGGCAGGTTGGGTGGGGCTGGGTGTCCCTCCTAGGCCAGTGTGGTGTGCCAAGCTCTCACTAGAGAGGGCTGTCCTTTGGAGAGCCACCTCTGCTTTGGGAAAGATCTCCTTAAAGAGTGGAGTTGGGTGATCTACCTAAATGTTCTCTTATCTCAGGGGCAATACAACCAGCGTGGTGCTGATAAACTGGGTGTCTTAAAAAAGGCCCCAGTTTGTAAGGTGTGCAGACTTTCATGGTGTGAGTGCTACCACAATGGACAACTACAGTGGTTTAACCACTGGCTTGCAAAACCTTAATAATTTCATGTGCCGCCGGAGCTAGCCCCAGCTCACCACTGAATCTTGTCATAGTTCCAGTCAGTAGCAGGGGGCTGTTGTGAGCCATTAGCTTTAGGAATTTGTGTCCTGAAGTAAGAAAATTCAAGGTCCACTTGATAGCATGATGAGAGATTTCACTTCCCATGTGAGCACAAGAACAGTGGCTATGAGGAGACCTAAAACTCCTAAAACCAGCTCCCTCATTGGTACTTCAAAGAATGGGCCTCTCCAGCACAACATGGAGCTGATGAGACCTTCTTTTTTTTCATTTTTTTATTTTTTATTTTTTTTTTACTTCATCTCGGGGGCAGTCATCTTTGACTAGGAGCTACTGAGACCTGACTGCTCACCAAGATTAGAAAGTCCTGTATTAAAATCATATGCCTATGCTATATTACATTTAGAAAGGCAGGAAGGAAATAGAGAAAAATTTGGTAGTGGTGACTTCATTTGTCTTTAGGATCTTCTGTGTTTTTTATTATTTATTTATTATTTTTAAGTTCATCTCCTTTTTAATCTTAATTTTTATTATTATACTTTAAGTTCTGGGGTACATGTGCAGAATGTGCAGGTTTGTTACACAGGTATACACGTGCCATGGTGGTTTGCTGCATCTATCCCCCTGTCGTCTACATTAGGTATTTCTCCTAATACTATCCCTCCCCTAGCCCCCCACCCTCTGCTATCTCTCCCCTAGCCTCCTATTCCCTGACAGGCCCCAGTGTGTGATGTTCCCCTCCCTTGTCCATGTATTCTTATTGTTCAATACCCACTTATGAGTAAGAACATTCGGTGTTTGGTTTTCTGTTCTTGTGTCAGTTTGCTAAGAATGATGGTTTCCAGCTTTATCCATATCCCTGCAAAGGATATAAACTCATCCTTTTTTATGACTGCATAGTATTCCATGCTGTATATGTGCCACATTTTCTTTATCCAGTCTATCATTGATGGGCATTTGGGTTGGTTCCAAGCCTTTCCTATTGCAAACAGTGCCACAATTAACATACGTGTGCATGTGTCTTTATAATTGAATGTTTTATAATCCTTTGGGTATATACCCAGTAATGGGATTGCTGGGTCAATGGTATTTGTAGTTCTAGATCCTTGAGGAATCACCACACTATCTTCCACAATGGTTGAACTAATTTATACTTCCACAAACAGTGTAAAAGCATTCCTATTTCTCCACATCCAGCATCTGTTGTCTCCTGATTTTTTAATGATTGCCATTCTAACTGGTGTGAGATGGTATCTCGATGTGGTTTTGATTTGCATTTCTCTAATGACCAGTGATGATGAGTTTTTTTCATATGTTTGTTGGCTGCATAAATGTCTTCTTTTGAGAAGTGTCTGTTCATATCTTTTGTCCACTGTTTGATGGGGTTGGTTTTTTTCTTGTAAATTTGTTTAAGTTCTTTGTTGATTCTGGATATTAGCCATTTGTCAGATGGGTAGTTTGCAAACATTTTTTCCCATTCTGTTGGTTGCCAGTTCACTCTAATGATAGTTTCTTTTGCTGTGCAGAAGCTCTTTAGTTTAATTAGATCCCATTTGTCTATTTTGGCTTTTGCTGCCATTGCTTTTGGTGTTTTAGTCCTGAAGTCCTTGCCTATGCCTATGTCCTGAATGGTATTGCCTAGGTTTTCTTCTAGAGTTTTTATGGTGTTAGGTCTTATGTTTAAATCGTTAATCATGTGGAGTTAATTTTTGTATAAGGCATAAGGAAGGGATCCAATTTCAGCTTTCTGCATATGGCTAGCCAATTTTCCCAACACCATTTATTAAATAGGGAATCTGCTGGGTGCAGTGGCTCACACCTGTAATCCCAGCACTTTGGGAGGCTGAGGCAGGCGGATCACAAGGTCAAGAGATTGAGACTATCCTGACCAACATGGTGAAACCCCGTCTCTAGTAAAAAATACAAAAATAAGCCGGGTGTGGTGGCCCGTGCCTGTAGTCCCAGCTACTCGGGAGGCTGAGGCGGAAGAATCACTTGAACTGGGAGGTGGAGGTTGCAGTGAGCTGAGATGGCGCCACTGCACTCCAGCCTGTTGTCAGAGCGAGACTCTGTCTCAAAAAAATAAAAATAAAAAATAAAAATAAAATAGAGAATCCTTTCCCCATTGCTTGTTTTTGTCAGGTTTGTCAAAGATCAGATGGCTATAGAGGTGTGGCATTATTTTTAGTATTATTATTTTTTGAGATGGAGTCTCTCTCTGTCACCCAGGCTGGAGTGCAGTGGGGCAATGTTGGCTCACTGCAGCCTCCATCTTCTGGGATCCAGTGATTCTCCTGCCTCAGCCTCCCGAGTAGCTGGGATTATAGGCACCCGCCACCATACCTGGCTAATTTTTGTATTTTTAGTAGATACAGGGGTTCCCCATTTTGGCCAGGCTGGTCTTGAGCTCCTGACCTCAGGCGATCCGCCTGCCTCAGCCTCCCAAAGTGCTGGGATTACAGATGTGAGCCAAAGTGCCTGGCCTTTGTGTTTTTTAGATAACCAGAACAAAATTTTAAAAAGAGATGTCATATATAAAACAAAAATCAATTCTATTTCTCTTTTCCATAGATACCTGTTTCTTCATTTAACTCCATTTTATCAGCCTTTGTTCTGACTGTATTTTAACAATCTCCACACAACATTCTAAAAGATCTACTGATGGTTTCTGAAAATTCTCCCAAACCAGAAGGAACTTTTATATTTATTTATTTTAGAGACAAGGTCTCACCATGTAGCCCAGGCTGGTCTCAGATTCCGGGGCTCGAGTAGTCCTCCTGCCTCAGCCTCCCCAAGTGTTGGGATTACAGGTATGAACCACTGTGCCCAGCCCCAGAAAGAGCTTTTAGATCTCAGATTAATTCAGGTCCTTGGGTTGACTCCTGTATGTGCCAAAAGAGCAGAAGCTTGGGGAGGCCCCCCGGCTTCCCCGGGATTAGGGGCTTACCTGAGTGGCTCCTCCTCCCACTCCCCATCTAGGCACTTCCTGTAGGAAGCGTTGAAGATCTCAGCCTGCCGCTCCCACTGACTGTCCTTGATGAAGTGATTCTGCCCGGAGCCCAGGCCATAGCAGTCCTCTATCTTTGCAAAGACTTCCAGGGGGCTTTTGAATGTGGTGCCTAGGTTGAAAATATTACATAATTAGTCAAGCCATCTGACTTTTCCTTCCTGATTTTCCCCTACTTCCCCCACATTTCCCAGTTTCCTGCAGAATCTCTTATCCTCAGAAATCCATTCTTGCTCTGCAATTGGTCTGTGAGCCCAGGTATTCTGTCTTCTCCCAGCCTCTCCTGTGCCGTACCAGCTTACAGAGCCCAGGCAGGCAGCAGCTGCTGTCCGCCTTCTTCTGTATCTTCAACCTGCATCATTCTCTCTGGATTACAGAATATTTGCAAAGGCCGGGGCTTGGGGGGCGGTGGGGTAAGGGAATGTTGATAATGCACTAGAGACTTTAAATCACCGTCCCTGTCTCTCTAGCTAAGGAAGGCCCCAAATCTGCCAATTACCATCCCTTTTCAGCCCCTGCTGAGGGAAGACTCACATAATTAGGCAGTCTCAGTCTCTTCTTATGCCAACATTTACCCAATTACCTTCCTTTTAAAAAGGAAGGTAATTGGGTCAATTCTCTGCCAATCATTTTTCTTACTTCTTTTCTTACTTCTCTTCCCAGTAATCTTTCATTCCTTCTTTTTCATCTGTTCCTGGGCAACTTGAGGGACCCAGGCACCTTCCAAAGTGAACAGAATTCTGAAACTCAGGGTGCAAATCTCAAAATACAAAGAAACCCAGAAAATAAGTCATCTAGGTTTACTGTGGATTTCTTAAGAATTTGTAGTAATTCTTCATATATTCTGGACGTGGACCATTAGTGGGTTTTACGTGTTTTACAGATAACTTCTCCTTCTATGTGGCTTGTTCTTTCATGCTCTTAATGATATCTTTGATTTGAAATTCCTAATTTTAATGTAGTTGAGACTACATGTACACGCTACTCTGCCCGGCTAATTTTTGTATTTTTTATGGAGGCAGGGTTTCGCCATCTTACCCAAGCTGATCTTGAACTCCTGAGCTCAAGCAAATGCTAGGATTACAGGCATGAGCCACCATGCACGGCCCAGATTTTATTTAACCAATTTTTCACCTCTGTACATAAGGCTACTGTGAACATTCTTTTTTTTTTTTTAATCCTAACCACTAGACCACCAGAGATGAACATTCTTATAGCTATGTCTTTGTGATCATGTGTAAATGCTGAGAGGATATCCTCTGTATTCGCTGCCTACAATAGCTATCCTCTCTGCTCGTCTTGACCAAGTCTCATTTTTTGACACTTTGCCCAAATGTCCCTTTCTCTGGTAAAGCCTTTGCTTACTCCGAGCCAGACATATGGTCCCCCTTGCTGTAGTTATCACATCCCACTCTGGTGGTTTCTTGCCATTTTCCCTTAGTAGACTATCAACTTCTAGAGTGCAGGAGAGGAGAGGTGTTTTACTCATCTTTGTGCCTGGTGCATTACGGGCATTCAGCAAATAATAATGAATAAGTTAACATAGGAATGTAGGAATGAATGTATTACAACTAGCAGTCAAGTGAATTAGCACAGGAATGTAGGAATAAATGAACTCAACCTGGCAGTTCAGAAAAGATCTCTTTCTTTCCTGACCTTCCAATTCTGTTAGTTAACTGTATGTAATACAAATATATTACTTACATTTTTTGTTTTAATGTCTCAGAGCTTATGAGTTTAAAAAAAATTCATCTTTTAAAACTGTAATTTTGATATTGTTGCTAATAAATTGAAAAGATAGAACATGTGGGGAAAGGAGGAAAAAACAGAGAAATCAATGGCAAAAGGAGAGAGAGTTGAATCACACTTACCTGTAACAGGTTTAGGTGGTTTGATTTTCATTGTGTAAACCGGAAGAGTCAATTTAATGTCTCCTTTAAAACAAACATTTATATCCTAAAACAGGGAAAAGGGATAGTTAATAAGCCAAGAAAAGAGAGGAAGTAGAATAATTAGAAATACCGATTTTAAAAGAAGGTAGAAAAGGAGGGGGAAAAGAAGAAAAAGAGGACAAATAGAAAGTAAATAGCAAGATTACAGATTTAAACCCAAACATATAAATAATCACATTAAATGTATATGGTCTAAATACCCCCAGTTAAAAGTCAGAGATTGACAGACTCTATAAAAAGGCAAGACCCTTCCTGGGCATGGTGATACACACTTGTAGTCCTAGCTACTCTGGAGGCTGAAGGGGGAGGAATGCTTGAGGCCAGGAGTTTGAGGTGGCAATGTGCTATGATCATGCCTGTGAATAACCACTGCATTCCAGCCTAGGCAACATAGTGAGAATCTTTGAAACGATTTTTTTCAGAACAGGCAAGACCCAACTATATGCGGTCAAAATTTTTTTTTTTTTTTTTTTTTTTTTTTTTTTTTTTTTTTTGAGACAGGATCTTGCTTTGTCACCCAGGCTGGAGTGCAGTGGAATGATCACAGCTCATTGCAGCATCGACCTCCTGAGCCTAAACAATCCTCCCACCTCAGCCTTCTAAGTAGTTAGGCTCACAGGTATGCACTACCACACCCGGCTAATTTAGGTTTTGCAGAGACAAGGTCTCGCCATGCTGCTCAGGATGGTCTTGAACTCCTGGGCTCATGTTATCCCCCTGTTTTGCCTCCCAAAGTACTGGGATTACAGGTGTGAGCCACTACATGCGGCCAAGAAACTCATTTTATGAACCACTTTCTGAAACCATAGGGGGAAGAAAAAGAAACTTGTTATATTAAATATAATGACACAAATATATTAAGAATGAAAGTACAGAAAAAGATATATCTTGATAAAATGAATCAAAAGAAAGCTGGGGTGACCATATTAGTATTTGACATAGAAGAATTCCGAACAAAGAATATTATCAGGAATCAAAGGGTCAGTGAATAATGACAAAACGATCAATTCATCTGAGGACGTAACATTACAAATTGTTAAGCATCTAATTACACAGCTTCAAAATACATGAAGCAAAAATTTGTAGGAGTGAAAGAAGAAAAAGATAAATCTACAATCTTAGAGATTCCTCTTTCAATAAGCACAGAATAAGTAAACAGAAAACCAGTAAGAACATAGTCAGGATATAAAAGGAAAATAGGAAGGAGATAGAAGGCTTGAACAGCCTGACCAGTAACAGCTTTCTTGGTCTTGAAACACTCTTTTAAGTGCACATAAACACTTAACAAGATAATCCACATTGTGGGAATAAAACAAGTCTAAATAAACTTAAAATGATTCAAATATATAAAGTATGTTTTCTGATTGCAATGGATTTAAACGAGAAGCCCATTTAAAAAAGCTATCTATAACATTTCCAATATTTGGACACTAAATAACAGGCTTCTAAAAATCTACTAGTCAAAGAAGAAATACAAAAGCAAATTATAAAGTACTTAGAACTGAATGGAAATAAAAACATCAAAATTTAAAGCAGTATTTAGATACAAGTTTATAGCACTAAATGCCTATATCAGAAAAGAAGATCTCAATGATCTGAGCTTCTACCTTAAGAAACTAGAAGAGGAAACTAAACCCAAAGTAAGCATAACAAAGGACATAATAAAAAGAAAACTGGAAGTCAGCGAGAGAGAAAACAGAAAAACAACAGGGAAAAATATGTGAAACTAAAAGCTTGTTCTTTTGAGAAGATGAATAAAATGGACCGACTAGCCAAACTGATTAAGAAAAAAAGAGAGAAGACACAAATTACCAATATCAGGAATAAGAGGGATGACATCACAGTGAATTTTAAAGCTAATACAAGGATAATGATGGAATGTTATGAACCACTTTAAGCCAATAAATTTGACAACTTAGACAAAATGGACAAATTACTCCTAGACAAAGATACAAAAGCTTGCTCAAGAAGAAATAGATTACCTGAATAGTACTTTATCTATTAAAGAAGTTGAATTGGTAGTTTCACAAAGAAAGCTCCAGGACTAGATGGACACATTAGTAAATTCTATCCAACATTTTAAGAAGAAATAATGCCCAGCCTGGAAAACATATTTTTCTATAAAAAATTTTAAAAAATAGATAACCATGGTGGCATACAACTGTAGTCTTGGATTTGGGGAGCTGAGGCGGGAGGATTGCTTGAGCCCAGGAGGTTGAGGCTACAGTGAGCCATGATCCTGCCACTGCATTCCAGCCTGAGTGACAGAGTAAGCTCGTTTCAAAATGAAAAAATAAAAAGAAAAGAAAAAAATGTGCAGACAAATTGATGAGTCAAAAATGCAAGTTTATACGAAAATATATACAGTATGATCCCACTTACATAGAAAAAAAATTCCATGAAACAAAACTTTGTTTTTCAAAATAAATATAAGAATGTAAATACACACCGAAGATCTAGAAAACACACATCAAGCTAGTAATGGCAGTTACCTCAGAGGGGGTTGTTTATCTGAATTCCTTGACTTTTGCAAGAGTGATGTGTTGATATATTATTTGCGTAATTTGAAATATTATGTAACTATTTTAATTATTTTTTGTGAGACAGAGTCTCGCTCCGTCGCCCAGGCTAGAGTGCAGTGGTACAATCTCAGCTCACTGTAGCCTCCACCTCCAGTGTTCAAGCCATCCACCCACTTCAGTCTTTTGAGTAGCTGGGACTATAACCGCATGCCACCACACCTGGCTAATATTTTGTAGAGGCAGGGTTTCACCATGTTGCCCAGGCTGGTCTCAAATTCCTGCGCTCAAGAGATCCTCCTGCCTTAGGCTCCTAAAGTGTTGGGGTTACAGGCATGAGCCACAGTGCCCGTCCTAACATAACTTTGAAAGGGAAAATAGAAGGGGCTCTAGCGAGAGATTTCCATTCCAGAAGTTCACCACCACTCTACTGACATGCCTGAGTCCTCCAGGAGCCATGCCTCCTGAAAGCATGGTGTGTTCCTGGTCTCAGAGGAAGAGCCAGGAAACTCCAGAAACCTGCTCTGTTCTTCTTCTTCTTTTTTTTCTTTTTTTGTGGAAAGTGATTTATTTAGAGACAGAGAAACAGGAGAAGGAGAGAGAAAGAAATAGCTCACTCTCACACTGAGTGAGAGAATCCAGAAAGATGGAATCCAGGAAAGGAAAGTAGCTTCCACAATGAGTGGAAAGGAATAGAGAGATGGAGTTTAGGAGGGGAAGACAGGCTTCCAGGAGAGAGTTTGGAAGGGGACCCCAGAGGGGAAATCCAGGAGAGAGAAAGATGGCTCCCATGAAGGGAGTGTTCATGGAAGGAGACCCAAACATGGAGTCCCACCTGCTGTTCTGTAAGGTATTCCAAAACAAAGACAAACCCCCAGGTCACGCGGCTTGGTGGACTGGGCTGTTATCTTGGTAGGGGTAATCTGGGATTCATGGGACCCTCTTTTAAGAAAAAGAACACAGAACTATGCACACAAAATGCCCATGGCCACTGTAATTCCATCTAATATGGGGGAAATTGTAAAAGGAAAGTTAAGAGGCAGTAGGATTAAGTGATCATGGTTAAAACATGTTACCTTTGCTAATTTTACAAAAATATATGACCATATAAACATACTGCTTTAAGTGAGGGGCCCTGAAATGTAAGCTCCCTTAACTTCAGGTAAGGGAGATGACTTGGGGGTCACGTATTCTCAAGGACAGGAGGCCAACTTCAGTGGATATGAGGCACAAGGTTAAGTCACAGAGAATTGAAAACAGTGCCCCGGTGGAACATTTTAGTAGTATATTTTACATTTAAAGCAAATTTCAAGTAAAAATAAAAATCTTGGGCCAGGCATGGCAGCTCACGCCTGTAATCCCAGCACTTTGGGAGACTGAGGCAGGTGGATCACTTAAGGTCGGGAGTTTGAGACCAGCCTGATCAACATGGAAAAACCCTATCTCTACTAAAAATACAAAATTAGCTGGGTGTGGTGGCACATGCCTGTAATTCCAGCTACTCGGGAGGCTGAGGCAGGAGAATCGCTTGAACCCAGAAGGCAGAGGTTGCAGTGAGCTGAGATGGCGCCACTACACTCCAGCTTGGGCAACAAGAGCAACAAGAGTGAAACTCTGTCTCAAAAAATAAACAAACAAACAAATAAATAAAAATAAAAAACAAAAATCTCTAAAATGCAACCTGAAGTCTCTCTGGAGATTTTCCTTGAAGTTTCTTACCATCTCTAAATGATCTGCAGAAGTGGGACCAAGGGTATTCTGAGGAGGAAAATGAGACGTTAATTCACAATAGGTTTGATGTACGTTTGCCAGCCCTTTAATCTTCCAGCATGCGCCCTCTTCCCGTCAGTTCCTCTTGTGAGAGTGAATTCATGCAGTGGATATGGAGAGCCAGTATTTGTGTGGGCCTCTGGTCTACAGACCTTCAACACATGATCCCTAATTTTCAGGATCTTAAAAAGTTGTTGGGGAAACAAGAAATAGTTAATAATAAGAGGAAATCTGAATGAATAGAGTTGAGGAGCTCAGTCAGAACACCATTACAAGAATCTAAATGGAAGCAAATATTTCTGATTGGCAAAACATAACAGTGATGCTGAGAATTACATCTAACTAATGCTAAATATAATTCATAGTAAAAGAACTACCACTGTACCCGGCATTCATTGGCTGTTTCTCAGTGTATGAAAAAGAAGTGGCTAATGGGGAGAAACTACCCCATTCAAGGTGCTTTTTCCGTTTGGATAGCAAATTAGTCCATCCAAAAAGACATGTTTTGAGTACCAAGTATGATCCTATGGGATTGGTTGATTAAAAGCAGAAGGTATGGTCTTAACAATCCAGAAATTTATCATCCATTGAAGACAAAAGGATTTTCATGCATAACAGGATAACCAAAAACCTAGGTAGTACATGAGAAGTATCAAAAAAGAGGTACAAATCACAAAATTCTGTCATAGCTTAGAGGAGGAAGATCTCTCAGCTGGTAACTTGCCCTGGCACGCAGGACTATACTCCATTATGAAGACATTCACTGGGGAGAATGGCATTTATTCAAAGCCACTTGAGCTCAGCAGAGAAAGGGAGTCTTGATCTTGGTCTCCTATAGTCATAATTTCACTAATTTATTTAGCACCCAATACAATGTGTTTTAAAGGGGTGCTCAGTTAATATATTAGTGTTGGTGGTTTAAAAATAAAAATAATAAGCATCCATTGTATAAATAAGCAAATTAAGTCTTAATATTTACTGAGCAACTATATCTTAGAAATACAGCACAAGGCCCAGGTATCATATATAAATAAACCGAAATGGTAGAGTTTCTACTTTCTAAAGGATAATACAAAATATATATATATATATATATATATATATATATCTGTATATTGAGAACAATCTCTTTGTACCATAGTCTGGAAAATTTAATGGAATTTGAGGCATGAAAAGATGATTTTAGCCAGGAGGGAAAAAAGATGACCAGTGAAGCAGGAGCCAGGACAAAACACCCGCCTGCCAGAGAAGTGCCTGGGGGTGGGCTCAGCCACTGCCAGGCTAGAGAGAGACTGGGATTCCCACTACTGAATACACTGCTACCTTTTAATACCTTATTTTAGTCAAAGGAAGTGGACTTGGGAGACGGGAGCCGATATTCCTGTTGTCCTCTATTAAAGCCCAGAGGCCTCATTCATCATAACTTCCCAAGGAGAACTTGGGCTAGATGTGGGTCAGGGGTGGGGATAAACATCAGCTGAAAGCAGAGATATTTCCTACCAGTTGCAGCTGTCTGACTTTTTTCTTTGGATTTGAAGTGAGTTGGGGGTGCTCTACTTCCTTGAGCCAAGTCTCCTTGGGCAATTTATACACATCCAGCCAAACGTCTCCGGCTCCTGCATTGGGAAACCAGAGAACCATTGAGCAACTGTCAGAGAGCCAAAGTTGCCTCTGGGAAATGGCCTGTCTTCTTCTCAGAACTGCTGGCACGGAGACCAGCCACCTCTGTAGCAGGCAACTTTGACACATTGAAGGAGAAGCAGTTCTGCATTGGTTTTTGCAAGTCCTCACTGCCCACACAACTTTCCCATGGAGAGTGAGCCCCTCAACCCCCACCACCTATCGAGGAGATACGGGCTTCTCACACTGCCAGTACTCAGGCAACACAGTTTTTTTTACCAAACTGCTCTGCCCAGCACCCACATTTTCTATGTTGCGAATGGTAAATTCCATTGACATAAAGAAAAGAATACATGGGGCTGGGTGTGGTGCCTCACACCTGTAATCCCAGCACTTTGGGAGGCTGAGGTGGGCAGCTCACCTAAGGTCAGGAGTTCAAGACCAGTCTGGCCAACATGGTGAAACCCCGCCTCTACTAAAAATATAAACATTAGCAGGGCGTGGTGGCGGGTGCCTGTAATCCCAGCTACTCAGGAGGTTGAAGCAGGAGAATTGCTTGAACCTGGGAGGCAGAGGTTGCAGTGAGCTGAGATTATGCCACTGCACTCCAGCCTGTGCAACAGAGCAAGACTCCATCTCATATAAATAAGTAAATAAAAATAAAATGCATATCTTCCTCAAATACTTGACATTGGAGGGGGATTGGCCAAGACTATAAAATAGAGGCCCATATGCCATATATCTAAATATGTAAAGGTTAAAAATCAAGGCAACAAGCACTTGAATAAATTATGTTCTGTTGTCCCAGGGATAACTGCAGCAGGCAAGATCCAATGATGAGTGCTAAGATTGGTGGGTAAAACATTAAAGAGAGGCCGGGCACGGTGGGTGGCTCATGCCTGTAATCCCAGCACTTTGGGAGGCCGAGGTGGGCGGATCACCTGAGGTCGAGAGTTTGAAACCAGCCTGACCAACATGGAGAAACCCTGTCTCTACTAAAAATACAAAAATTGGCCAGGCGTGGTGCACTTGGCTGTAATCCCAGCTACTTGGGAGGCTGAGGCAGGAGACTCACTTGAACCCAGGAGGTGGAGGTTACAGTGAGCTGAGATTGTGCCATTGCACTCCAGCCTGGGCAACAAGAGTGAGACTCTGTCTCAAACAAACAAGCAACATTAAAGAGAAACAGCACATCAGCATCATCTCAAAGTATCTCCCTCAAAATGTTTACTAATGACTGTGGTGGTTTTAACACATGTCCAAAAATTCTTTGATTCTCCTACCTCCAGGAGGTGATACTTCTATCATCTCCCCTTGAGTGTGGTCTGGACTTACCGACTTGCTCCTTACAGAGGATGGGAAGGGAAAAAAGTAGCTCTACAGTGGGGAAACCTGGCGGATACCACTTGAAGTGATCAAGGTTAATATTGGCAGTAGTGAGTCACACTATCACGTACCCCTTGATATGACACAATGAGAAAAGCATGTCACCTCTGCTGTATTTCCCCCCAAATCCTTAACTCCAGTTGAATCATGAGACAAAAATCAGACAAACTGAAATTGAGGGACATTCTACAAAATACCTGACTGGTACTCTTTATAATGTGAAGGCCATGAAAAATGAGGAAAGGCCGAGAAACCATCCGTGATTTGCTTAGTTTTGACAAATGTGGTGCAACCAGGTTGAACACTGGCATTAGGGAAGCTGGGTGAAGGGCAGAAGGGAACTCTGTAGTATCTTTGCAACTCTTCTTTAAATTGAAAGTAATTTCTAAATAAAAGGTTTGGAGGGACAAAAGCAATCATTTAGAAGTGACCGAAAGTCTGAAATCTTCGGTTAATCTTGCCTTGTAGGAGGAAGGCTACAAAGTCCCCTCCTTGAGAGATCTCCATCTTTATACAGGTAGTTTGCTTGCTGGTATCATCCTGAAAAGAAAAGAGATGTTGATAGAATAGGCATAGCCTGCTGACAGAAAATGTATTTCAGGCCTTCTGTGGTTTGCACTCAGGAACAGAGATCCTTTTATTTTTTATTTTTATTTTTATTTTTTGAGACGGAGTTTCGCTCTTGTTACCCAGGCTGGAGTGCAATGGTGCAATCTCGGCTCACCACAACCTCCGCCTCCTGGGCTCAGGCAATTCTCCTGCCTCAGCCTCCTGAGTAGCTGGGATTACAGGCACGCGCCACCATGCCCAGCTAATTTTTTGTATTTTTAGTAGAGACGGGGTTTCTCCATGTTGACCAGGATGGTCTCAATCTCTTGACCTCGTGATCCACCCGCCTCGGCCTCCCAAAGTGCTGGGATTACAGGCTTGAGCCACCGCGCCCGGCCCAATAGTATTTCTTATACAGCAAATTATAATAAAAAATCTGATATGGCTTATACCTGTAATTCCAGTACTTTGGGAGGCTGAGGCAGGAGGATCACCTGAGGCCGGGAGTTCATGACCAGCTTGGGCAATAACATGGCGAGACCCTGTCTCTATTTAAGGAAAAAAAACCTGCTCTGAGCATTACCCTCTCTTTTGGGAATTCATTGATTTAAAAAATACTTTCTGAGAACTTACAGTATCCCAGGCAATGATCTGGGAAAAGGGGATTCAAAAGGTAAATAAGACAGGTCCTGTTTGCTCAGGAGAAGCAGTCATATAAACAAATGAGGGGAGAGGGTGTGGGAAACACTTTCAGTGGCACAGAGCAGGGAGAGATCAGCTCCTCTTGGGTATATGATGGAAGGTGTCTCAGAGGAGATATTTAAGCTGGTCTTGAAGAATGGGGCAGATTTTTGTAGGGAGACAGGAGAGCATCTGAAGCAGAAGGAATAGCAGAGGCAAGGGAAGGGGAATGTGAAATGGTCCAGGACATTTAGGGACTTTTAAGTACTAATTAGATATGTTGGTCTGATGCGCAAAAGAAAACTCTGGGCTGGAGTTCCTTTGTTAATTTTCTTCCTTTGACAACAGGGTAACTAAATCCAAGGAATTCGGCATGTACCCTTTGATGGCGGAGGGTCTTTTAATTGGATGTTTTGGAGGAGGCTCTCTGGCGATGGAAGTCTCTGTTTCTTTCTAATCTAGGCCAGCTATCATTGCTTCTATGTTAAAGGTAAAGTTAATTTGCTGCGGCTTTCGGCCCAGCTAATGGTGAAAGAATAGGAACTCACCCCTTCATTGATGACTTTGACTAGGTAAAGACCATCCTTATAAAAATAAAAGAGTCTAATGATACCTGAAACAGAAAAAAAAGTGAGAACGTGACAGACAAATGAGCTGAAGAATTGGAATTTTTTACATTTGACTTTGTGAACGTACCATCATAAGCTCACTCATTCTTAGGCATCCTCTCCAGCCCCTCCACTGCCAATGCTTCTCTTGGTCTCCCTGCCTTCCTCCACCCCTTAGTTGAAATGTTTAGGTTGTTTTCCTTCCTGGGTCCTCTCCACCTACCCTGGCTCTGCCGATATCTCTGAGACATCTCCTGTAAGCACGTGGGCGACCTCACCTACTTGTTCATTCCTGTCTGCCTGATTGAGCGCACCATCCCTTGTGGCTTCATACCCTTCTCCACTGTTTCCTGCAGATGCACTCTATTCCTCTGAGATCATAGATTCTTTGAGGGAAAGGATCATAGCTCACTGTTCCACGCGTCTTGCCTCTCAATCCCAACAAGCTCCTCATGCAGTTGATGTTGTTCAATTAATAAGTAAATCTGTTAATCTAATTCCCATTTAAACTAATGGCTCCAGTATACAATCATCACCCACCATGACCTCTTACCTCTTTCTTGAGGCGTCTTCCAGATACTTATTACTTGCCTCTCTATAGTATAATATAACCTTGTATAGGCATCTGGCCCACTGTGGGTGAACGTCTAACTCAACCCAATACAGATTCATAGGATATCTGATTCATGCCAAGAAATGTGCTAGGGACACCAGGACAGTCTACCTTCAAATTCATCACATTGAGAGTTACACAGACATGAAACCAATGCAGTATGAAAAATACGATCATACCTTTACACCAAACTCCTTCTGAGTATCAGCATTCCCACAGAGATATCTCTAGATACCTCAAGTCTATGCATGTTCAAATGGAATTCCTCAACTCACAGAACCCTGAAACCTTATTTTCCCATAACTGTTCTTAAGAAATGGCATCATCATCCACCCAGTTATCTAAGACACAAAGGGGAGGCATTTTCCTTCACTGCCCCCAGCACGCCCTCCCACTCCTTGACCCCCATGCATATTCCACCATTCCCACAGCTTTTCCATTCAACATTCCTTTCATTTTTTAAGCTTTTTATTTTGAACTAATTTTACATTTATAAAAAAGTTGCAAAAATAGTAGAGTTTCCTTGTATCCCTCGTCTTGCTTCCCCTAATGTTAACATCTTACATAATCACAGTACACTTTTTCTTTTCTTTCTCTTTTTCTCCCTTCTTTCCTTCCTCCTTTCTTTCCTTTCTTCCTTTCTCCCTCCCTCCCTCTCCCTCTCTCTCTTCCTCTTTCTTTTTTTTTCTCATTCTGTCACCCAGGCTGGAGTGCAGTGGCAAGATCTTAGCTCACTGCAACCTCTGCCTCCTGGGTTCAAGTGATTCTCCTGCCTCAGCCTCCCGAGTAGCTGGGATTACAAGTGCCTTCCAAGCCCGGCTATTTTTTTTTTTTTTTTTTAAAGTAGAGACCGGGTTTCACCACATTGGCCAGGCTGTGTCAAACTTCTGACCTCCACTGTCAAACTCCTGACCTCAACTGATCCACCAGCCTAGGCCTCCCAAAGTGCTGGGATTACAGGCAGGAGCCACCGTGCCTAGGCTTTCTTTTCATTTTAACAACCCCTGCCTTGGTTCAGATGTTCAGAATTTTCCCTCCTCAATGACTACAATAGTCTTTCTGCCTCTTGTTTTGCCTTTTTCAACTCCTGCCAGAGTCCCCGTCCTGAAATGGCAGTCTGGTCAGGTCACTCTCCTGCAGAAAGTTCTTCAGTGCGCCTGTGCTGGCCGAGCAGAGCCTGATGCCTTCACAGCTGATCTCCAAGCCAGCAGGCACTTTCCACTCTGCCGGCCACAGTCCCACAGCCACCTCACTGACTTCCAGCCAAGGCTGACCTTTGCCTTCTCATCCTCCGCAAAGTAGGAAAGCTCCTCATATCCACAGGTCACAGTCTGGGTCACCCAAACATAAGGACAGGCTGGAGGGAGCCTAGCTTGTGGGGGCAACCAAGAGTCCCAACTCACCTATCTAGAACGCTGTCCTGGGTCTACAGTACAGACAGGCAAGTCATAACTAGGACATGAGTTTTCGATACCACACTCCCACGGAGGCCCGGTTCAGCCTCAGGCTGAGGGAAAGAGCGAGCTCTGCCTGCTAGAGAGGACAGTGAGTGGGGGAAGGGTGTGGACTACGGGCCGTACTGCCTGGTGTGAAGCCTGGCTTTCATATTACCTCAAGTAAGTTACTTAACTTCTAGGAGTCAGTTGCTTCTTCTGAACAGGAATAATAAATTTGACTTCCCGCATAGGGCTGCCTTGAGGATTAAATGGGCTAGCACCTGTGAAATGGCAAAAACAGTACCTGACGTATCATACCTGTTCTGTACACACGGTTACTATTACATGACCAGGGAGAGGTCCCCATGCCTGGCCCCACCCATACCTGGGAAGGAGATTAAATTGACAACAGTCTACAGGTACCTGTAAATTAGGGTAAAAAGGAAGATGAAGAACAATACCCGTTTCATCCAGGGGAGCAATAAGTATTTCATTCCCCAAATCTGTGGCCCAGATGGAAGTGACATCAACTTTAAGCTTCTCCCACGCGTATATTCGTTTAGCATTGTACAGATTGTAAATTGAGAACCCTTTGGCTCCTCCAATAAACACATAGTCTTGGGAAACAGCCATACAGGTTGGCATTTTGTTGAGCTGGGAAAACAAAAAAAAGTATTATTTTCAGTTGTCACCCTTCAAGTAATATGAGTTAGCTTTTCAGACATAGTCAGGGGCCCTTCCTAGAGATAGTAACATTCCCTGGTTGGGTGCAGCGGTTCACGCCTATAATCCCAGCACATTGGGAGGCCAAGGTGGGTGGATCACATGAGGTCAGGAGTTCAACCTGACCAACAGGGAGAAACCCTGTCTCTACTAAAAATATAAAAATTAGCTGGGCATGGTGGCACATGCCTGTAATCCCAGCTACTTGGAAGGCTGAGGTAGGAGAATGCTTGAATCTGGGAGGTGGAGGTTGCAGTGAGCTGAGATTGCACCATTGCCCTCCAGCCTGGACAATAAGAGTGAAACTCCATCTCAAAAACAACAAAAACAAAAAAATTTCCAAACACAGTGCACATCTAAAACTCTTGCCCAAGCATCAAGAAATTCGAAGTATTTCACTGATAGGGCAAAGGAAACAGAAAACAAAGAAGTTGAGAACAAATGCATATTCACAGCATTAGGCATGACCACAGGTCCTGTACTTGATTCAGCTGTTGCACCGTGGGAGGAATGGTAGCAAGGCACTGGCAGTTCTTCAATCATCCAGCAAGAGAGTAGATTCATACATTAACAACCACTGAATATGAAAGGATAATATTCAATTTACCAGAATACCCCAGATTTCCCCAGGCAATTACCAGATCATTGTAATCAACATCAGCATGCCTCTAATCTTTTAAACATGCACTGACTTATTGAATGCAGCTTTCTGGTAGGCATTCCTTCCCTGAGTCAGGAGCTTTCATTTATTAACACTCAAATGAGAAACAGGGGCTTCTGGTCAACTGCTCACCCCATACCTGGATTTCCCCAAGTGGAGGGTAGACGGTGAGCTGGATCTGGCTGCTCTCAGCTTCCCTCAGCACGTTCCTCTCTTCAATGATTACCCAGGCCTGGTCAAACAGAAGGTCCACCAGCTTGTTAATCATTCGGTAAGGCTGAGGCAGGGAATCCACCTCCTCATCTGGATCCACAAGGACATGGTCCTCTTCGTCATCCTTAGGCCAGTCCTTCTCTGTTGGGAGTGGCACCTCCAATGGTCCCTTTCGTGTACCAATGGGCAGCCTTATCTTCTGAATCTGACCTCCTCTGAGGAATGACATCACAGAAGGTGGCACTGGGAACCTCTATGAAACTCTATGAAGCTGATAAGAGAAGTAAACACAAGAATTTTGGGAAAAAGGGAAGCGACGAGAAGATAGCGCACCATCCTTTTCTAGCACATTAGCCTATAGGGACTGTTTATTCCACAGACTGGCATTTTCCTTAATTACCAGAGGACTGGTACCACATTCCTAGGATATGCTCTTCATATTCACAAGGACACTAGAAGCAGCAGGTATCTTCCAGGCCAACCCAAGATGATGTGTGCTAAGAAGGAAAGAGAGAATTTGATACCCTTATTGATAGGAGGGCAGCTGTCTTTCTGTCCCAAATGAAACTCATCTTCTCTCCTGCAGCTTATGCCTTCTCCTCATTCTCTCTCCCTGCAGTGGCTGTGCCCAAGCCAGGTGGGCAGTGAGCCACGACTCTCTTCTTTCTTTCCTTCACCCCGATCAGATGCAGTTCAAGCACTCCCAATCCCGACTGTTGGATTGTTCCCTTTTCTTCTTTCCCACTGCTGCTGCCCAGGAGTTCGCAGACACATTGTCCAGGGCCCGTGAGACTTCTCATGATGTCAGGAATGTTTGAGACATTTAGAATTGACCAAAATAAGCCCCATAAAATTCCACTTCTATCTGGGCCACAGGTTTGGGGAATGAAATGCTTATTGCTCCTGTGGATGATGATTAAGTATTTATGAAAATATTCACAATTTATAAGCTCCTCTGTGTGTGTGTGTGTGTGTGTGTGTACACATATATATGTCTACATGAACTTATATAAAGGCTGTATATGTATACAAATAAAGTTCATGTCTATAAGAAGAGAACAAGTAATCTTTACTTCAGAAAATTCAAAATTGCAGGCCCTGTGGGGTGGTTCATGCCCACCCAGCACTTCAGGAGGCCAAGGTGGGAGGATTGCGTGAGGCCAGGAGTTTGAGACTGGCTTGGGCAACATAGCAAGATCCCATCTATATAAAAAATTTAAAAATTAGCTGGGCATGGTGGTATGCACCTGTAGCTACTTGGGAAGCTGGGGTGGGGGAAGTGCTTGATCCTAGGAGCCTGAGGTTGCAGTGAGCTAAGATTGCGCTGCTGCATTCCAGCCTACATGACAGAGTGAGACCCTGTCTAAAAAACAACCCCCTCCCCACAAAACTGTACAAATTGTATAAAGGCTTTCATATGTTACAGTTTTTACAAAATATTTAATGTAGCACATGGAATACATTTTAAGGTGCTTAACATATGGCGGAGTCGGGTCCTGCACTGTGTGGGTGCCTAGGCTCCATGAAGTCCTGTAAAAGCCCTGCTGCCATCATCATCTTTTCCTGCTGGTGGTGTACATTTGTGATCTGTCAATGTGTGAGTATGAGGATACTAGCTCACATTGGGGAAAGAACCACCTGAAGTAATTAGAGGTGAGAGTAACCTGAGCTCACAGAGGGCCAATAATCATGCCTGTTTCCACCAGCAAGACTAGAAAGCCTCATAATTCACAGGCATTATGTAGAGTACTCTGAAAATCTTGCCTCAGTAGTGGGAAAAATTAGCCCTAGAATAAGTGCTTCTCTGTTATCGCCCACAAATCTTAGAAGTTAGATAATCAAACTATTTCTGAGTAATATACTGCATCCCAGAACACAGCTCAGGAATATTTAGAGGAATGTAAAAATATCCAGCATTGAATCGAGTAAAATTCATAATGTCTGGGATCCAATAAAGAAATTACTTAGACTATAGAAAGGCAAGAAAATATAAGCCACAATAAAGAGAAAAATCAATCAACTAAACCTGAACCAGAATCAATACAGATATTAGAATCAGCAGACAAAACAGTTATAACTTTTTCCAGAAAGTTATAGTTATAACTGTTTTATACACACACACACACACACACACACACACACACACACACACACACACATATCTGTCTACATCTATAACTATATTGAGCTTTTAGAGACACAGCTACAAGGTCTGAGATGAAAAATATATCAGATTAGATTAACATGAAGATTTCAAAGGAAAACAAATGAGATGGGCAGAAGAAAAGATTAGTGAACTTGAAGATACAGCAATAGAAGCAAAATGAAACAAAGGAAGAGAAAAGATTGGAAAAAAAGAGAAGAACTGAGGTGTGAGATCATTTGAAGTGGCCTAATACAAATGTGATTGAAATCCCCAAGAAAAGAAACAGAAAAAAAATTTGTAGAAATAATGGACAAAAATTTTCTAATTTTGATAAAAACTATAAACCCACAGATTTGAGAAGAAAAACTCTAAGCAAAAGAAATGTTATAAAAATTATTGATAAAGACAAAATTTGAAAGCAGCCAAAAGAGAAACGAAGTAAAAAATAACAGCAGATTTACTGAAGGAAACCACGCAAGTGAGAAACAGTGAAGCAACATCTTGAAAGTACTGAAAGAAAAAAACTTGCCATTCTGGCATTCTATACCCAGAAAACATAGTTTTTAGAAAATTAAAGTGAAATAAAGCCTTTTTAGACATACAAAATTTGAAAGAATTCATCAACAAACTAACATTAAAATAAATAATGAGAAAGAAAGGCTTTTGGGCTAAAGGAAAAGGAGCAGGGTGTAGTAGCTCCCGCCTACATTCCCAGAACTTTGGGAGGTTGAGGTGAGAGGATCACTGGAGCCCTGATGTTCAAGACCAACCTGGGCAATAATGGGAGACCTTTCTTCTACAAAAAAAAAATTTTTTTTTTAAATAGCCAGGCATAGTGGCATGTGCTTGGAGGATCACTTGAGCCCAAGAGGTCAAGCCTTTTTTTTTTTTTTGGAGAAATTGAACTATTTCATCAGTGAAGAGAAAAATGTAAAGCTGTCTTTATCTCCAGATGATATGCTTATATAGGAAATCTGATGAAATCTACAAAAACATTTTCTAGAACTATAAATGAGACCAAGGTCATAGGATACAAGTTCAATATATGAAAACCGATTGTATTTCTATGTACTGGCAGCAACAAACCAAAGATTGAAATAAAAATACCATTTACGACAGTATCAGAACGATGAAATACTTAGGGATAAATCTGACAAAAGATGTATAAAACCTGTATACTGGTCTGGACAAGGTGGCTTGCACCTGTAATCCTAGCAACTCAGCAGGCTGAGGTGGGAGGATTGCTTTCAGTCCAGGAGTTCAAGGTTGCAGTCAGCTATGATTGCGTTACTGCACTCCAGTTTGGGCAATACAGAGAAACTCCCTCTCTAAAAAACACCCACTCATATACAGAAAACTATAAAATATTGCTGAGAGAAATTAAAGAAAACCTAAATAAGTAGAGAGTGTGATACTTTATATATGAGTTAGAAGACTCAATTTTGTTAAAATGTCAATTTTCCTCAAATTCATGTACAAATTCAACACAATCCCTATGACAATCCCAGGTGGCTTCTTTTTTTTTCTTCAGAAATTAAGAAGCTTTTTTTTTTTTTTTTTTTTTCTGATACAGAGTCTCACTCTGTCACCCAGGCTGGAGTACATTGGCGAGATCTCAGCTCACTGCCACCTCCGCCTTCTGAGTTCAAGCAATTCTCCTGCCTTGGCATCCTGAATAGCTAGGATTACAGGCATGTGCCACCACACCCAGCTAATTTTTTTGTACTTTTAGTAGAGACAGGGTTTCACCATGTTGGCCAGGCTGGTCTTGAACTCCTAACCTTGTGATCCGCCTGCCTCGGCCTCCCAAAGTGCTGGGATTACAGGCATGAGCTACCGTGCCCAGCCAAAAAGCTAATTTTACAACTCATAATTGGAGGACTAACACTACCTAATTTCAAAACTTATCACAAAGCCACAATCATCAAAACAGTGTAGTATTGGTATAAAAATAAACAAATAGATAAATGAAACCAAATAGGGAGTCCTAAATTAGATGCAGACATATATGGAGAACTTATTTCTGACACGGACATGAAGACAATTCAGTGGAAAAAGGATATCCTTTTCAACAAATAATACTGGAGCAATTAGATAGCTACATGGGAAAAAATGAATGCCAGTCCATATCTTGCACCATATGCAAAAATTAAATCATACACTTAAATGTAAAATTTAAAACTATAAAACTTCTAGAAGAAAACCTTTGCAATCTTCACTTAGACAAAGACTAGTCATTTAAACCTTTTCAAAAATAAACTTATATTCTTCAAAACACAGTTAAGAGAATAAAAGGTAATCCTCAGAGTGGGAGAAAATATTTAGAAGTCATTTATCTGATAAAGTACTTGTGTCCAGAGTATTTTAAAAACTCTCAAAACTCAGTAATAACCCAATTTTTAAATATGTGCAAAAGACTTTTACAGATACTTAACCAAATAAGATATACAGATGGCAGATAGACTTATAAAAAGATGTTCCGCATTATTAGTCATTTGTGAAATGCAAATTAAAATCATGAGATACCACTCCACATGTATTAAAATGCCTGAAGTTAAAAAGACCATACCAAGTCTTGTTGAAGATGTACAATAGGAATGCTCATACACACTGTTGGGAATAGTACAACTGGTTTGGAAAACAGTTTGGCAATTTCTTAAAATGCTAATGTAGAGGCCAAAGCAACTCCATCTTGGATGCTAATTCTCTATGTTAATTTCTGATTATCCCCACTTAGAAAAGCCTCTAAGATTTCCAGTTTGACTCATCCTTGTGTAAGAGCACTACTTACTATAAATACTGTCCATAGATCAAAACAACCTTGATGTTTTTCTTGCCATATATTCTGCCCTTAAGCAATTATCTTACACATTCCTTCTGAAGCACCTTTCTCTGTAGTACAGAAACCCTGGTCTGGTGGATAATGGTGGGGATCTATCATCTTGTCTCACTTCCTGAAACACAGTCATGCCTTCTGTTGGTAAGTCCCTATTAAAGGTTTGTTTCTAAGAAACTGGGTATGCCAACCTCTTTCTTTGGCCTCTCAGCTTTCTCGGACTTTTGGGGGAAGGTTTGTACAGGCCTGTCTACTGCAGAACAGTTAAACATACACCTACCATCATATCTAGTCACTCCACTTTTAGGAGTGGCAGAAGGGAGCTGAAAACATGTCCATACAAAGACCTGTACATGAACAGTCATTACAGCTTTATTGGTAGGAGCCCCAAAATGGAAACAACCCACGTGTCCACCAATAGGCAAACAGATAAACTCTGACACATTGTCAGTGGTAATAAAAAATTGCATAGCCACTTTGGAAGACAGTTTGGCAGTTTCTTACAAAGTTAAACATACCACATGTTTCAGCAATAACATTCCTGTGTATTACACTAGGAAAATTAAAGTTTGTTTTACATCAAAATCTGTACTTAAATATTTATAGCAGCTTTATTTATAATTGCTTCAAACTAGGGACAACACAAATGTACTTCAGTTGGTGAATGGATAATGAATTCTAATATATTCACATTGTGGAATAAAAAATACAGGAATAAAAAAATTACAAACTACTGATGTGCACAACATAGATAATCTCAAATGCATTGTGCTGAGTAAAATAAATCAGAAAAGAAAAGAAAACGCCACATACTATATAATTCAATGTATGTGATATTGTGAAAAGGCAGAATTGTAAGTCTAAAAAACAGATGAGGCTGGGTGCAGCGGCTCACTCACCTGTACTCCCAGCACTTTGGGAGCTTGAGGTAGGTGTATCACCTGAGGTCAGGAGTTCCATACCAGCCTGACCAACATAGTAAAACCCTGTCTTTACTAAAAATATAAAAAATCACCATGCATGGTGACACATGCCTGTAATTCCAGCTACTCAGGAGGCTGGGGCAGGAGAATTGCTTGGACCTGGGAGGTGAAGGTTGCAGTGAGCCAAGATGGTGCCATTGCACTCCAGCCTAGGCAATAAGAGCAAAACGCTGACTCAAAAAAAAAAAAAAAAAAAAAAAAAGAGAAGCCAGATGATATAAATCTGTGTTTAGAAACACCCTGTGTTCAGCTCTATCATCTAACGTGTCTCCGTATTGTTTACTGTATCCCTTATTATCAGTTTACTGTGTCCCTTATTAACCTATTACCTAGGACTAAAGTTTAGCACAGTGGTTGGTATACAGCCAACACTCCATAAATTCTTATTGCTTGCAGAATTGCCTTGACCTGGGCCATGCACTTAGAGAATGCTTGTGGCTCTCTGCTAGGCTCTTTCCTCTGTAAAAAATGAGTAACCCATGGGGCTAAGGAGAAATGCTCACCCAAAGCCTAGTTTCCCTCTTCTGGAGTCTAGACCATGTTCAGGGTCCCTATACCCCTGGAAATGACACCATGGCCTGCATGAACCTTTCTTACCTTTCTCCTGAGGGCAGACCCAGCTGCTAATGTGAGCACTCCTAGATCTGAATGGTGGCCAAGGCAAGGCTGTTTTCACGGGTATGGGCAGAAGCTGTTTGTGGCTTGGAGTATCAGGAGGGCATGGAAGACTCCTGGCAGGGAATGTAGGTGGGTGCCAGAAACCAGAAAAGGAGAATGAGAAAAAACTGGGGCTCATTTCTCCCCACATTGCCGTATTCCAACTATGTTTCCAGGTATTCTAAGGAGTCTAGGAATTCTGAAAAGGAACCTGGCCTTCTACATCATTATGAGGTTTATTTGTCAGTGTAGGAAAACAGACTATATTTAAGTTAATAATTTGTTATTTGATTTATAACTAAAATATTTAAACATATGGTATGGTGGATCCATTTGTACTCTTCCCCAGGGCCTGCAAATGTTAGGAGCTGGCCTGACCAAGGGAAACTAAAGATTACAAAAACAGTTGACCTTATCTTGTGGTTATAGAGGGTACATTTTATGAAATTACTGCCACAGAGTGGGTGGGGCTCCTTTTCTTCAAGCCACACAGAACGAATGTTCAGCGGTGTAATTTGATTGTAATCTATATTTGTTTCGCGTTGCTCATAATGACTCTTTTAGGATTTTCTCAAGTAACAATTTTATTGCAGTGTTCAATAATCCAAACAGAAAATTCTCTCACTTCATCCGGCTCTCATGCTAGGTTCACACCACGAATTGGCTTATCTCTGCTCTAACCATTTCCTTCACCAGAGATAGAGCTGGTGTAGCTCAAGGGAAACAGGCACCGCGCTGGGAAATGGTTAGGCCCCACTGTCCCCAAGCAAGTGCTCAGGGGAGCTCTCAGGCTGGAGAGACCTATCGGGATTCCACCCTGGGTTCCTGAGAACCTGAGATCTGCAGGGAGTCGCGAGGCATCCGGAAACGCCCGAGGCTTAGGAGACAGACCCCCACCCTCAGACGCTCCTCTAGGAGGCGCTACAGGTAGAGGGGAGTCCTGGGACTCAATGGGAGCCGCGGCACCCGCAGGTAGGATCACAAGTTTTGCTCACCTGGCCCGGCGGCGTTGCGTCGCCTTAGTAACCACAACTTCCGGCCAAAACCGGAAGTCCGCGCAGTGATTCTTCGGAAGGGGCGCGCGTCCCCTCGGGGGTGGAGAGACTCAGCTCCGCCTACTCAGCCGTGAACCTGGGACCTGCCCTTCCCTAGGGATCCCGCGGACCCCAGAGAACCCACGCCTGAGCCCGGTGCGACTCGTGGCCCTGGGCGAGGAGCCATGGACGCCTTCATCCGCTTCACCAACCAGACCCAGGGCCGGGACCGACTCTTCAGGTGAGTCCGGTGCCGGCGGCCTCCGCCCCTTTCTCGCACTAACTCGGTGCCCCGGTGCCCTGGAAGGAGGAGGTGACAGCCTGGGAGGTGGAAGCAGGAAGGACATTGCCAGCTCCTACGGGGGCAGTTTAGTGTTCGAGCCCTTCCTTACTCTAAATTCAGCGGGGCTGGGCCCGACCCCCCGCGCCGTCCTAGCCTAGTGCACAGAAGCCCAGGGCCCGGCACCCCGAACGCCTCGAGACCGCCGCCCCTTGACACCGGCTGCCAGATTCTTCCCCGCTCCCAGCTTTAATCCCCGGGCAGAGAAAGACTAGGTTCTCTCCACTCAACATTCTTCCGAGGGATCGCCTTTATTTTTAATTAATTTATTTATTTTTAATTAATTTATTGAATTGCTCTTGTTGCCCAGGCTGGCGTGCAAGATCTCCTTTAAAAAAGAGAAACTCTGGGTTAGCATTTATGGCCAGAGAAGCAAACCACGTGCTGTGGCTTCAAATAGCTTTTTTTTTTTTTTTTTTTT